AACCTCCGCCAAATTCAGCGGCGACTTCAACACAATTTAATCACTCCCTACCTACATACATACGTTCTTTTAAATCCCTCCGCCACGCACTTCCCCCTCACCTTCCTCCTCTCCCTCAGAACCTCCGCATTCCCCTTCCAAAAACCCGAATCTCCCTGCCTCTCTCTCTCTCTCTCCAAACAAAATGGCGCAGGTGGTGGCTATGCGGGCGATTCAGAGCTCGACCCTCTCTCCCAGCTCTGGATCCTCACGCGGCCGCGCCGCCGACAAGCTGAAGCCGCCGACGAGCTTTGCATACAAAGTTATGGCTTTTGAGGAGAAGCAGAAGGGATGGAGCTGGAGAGTGTTTGGGAAGAGGAGGTCTGAGATAACTGCCAAGAGTCCCCTTCAGACGGAGGTCGTTCCCGTCTCGCCCGAAGACTCACCGAAGGTTCGTGCTAGGTGCTACTATTCAATCTTCCTTTTTTTTTTTTTTTGGGAGCTTGATGTGTTTGGTTGCTCCCATTAACAATGCCAATGTGGTCTAAGTGATATTCCTCCTTATATAGTAACTCCGAGGTCTCACGTTCGACTCGCTTGGATGGCAAGTTTGATACTTTAATTATGAAAAAAAAAGTATAATCTGTTTCGTTGCCCAGAAATTGTAGGAAATCATGACGAAAAGTGAATTTCTTTTGTTTTTTCGATGTTGAATTGATAGCAATTAGACTGATTACTCGATGTTTAGCTTCTTAGACTGTAGAGATGTTGCTTTTGGCCGAGGAAGGACCTCCTTGGAATTGCTTTTATAGAAAGCACTTATGCTCATAAGCGCTTTTATTAGAATGACTTAGAGATTTCGTTTAAAGTTTGCGTGCTTTTAGAATGTATGCTTAGTTTGTTTAGCTTGTGTTGCCGATCAGATAGAGGATCAGTTGAGGGCAATTCAGCAACTTGACAACACAGCAGTGGGTATGTGGTCAAGGCCTGTGGTCAAACGTAAGACAAAGATTGTTTGCACAATTGGTCCTTCCACCAACACGCGCGAAATGATCTGGAAGTTGGCTGAGGCCGGAATGAATGTTGCTCGTATGAATATGTCGCATGGAGATCACGCTTCTCATCAAAAAGTGATCGACTTGGTTAAAGAATATAATGAGCAACATGAAGACAATGCCATTGCGATCATGCTTGATACCAAGGCAAGGCTCCCCTTATTGTTTCTTGTTTCGTTCAATACCAAGTCATTAGTTTGAATTGCTTATCTTTTACTATTCGGAGAATATCTAGGTCATTCCATTGATGAATGTTGTTCTGTATCAGGGTCCTGAGGTTAGGAGCGGTGACCTGCCACAGCCAATCAATTTAGAAAGTGGGCAGGAATTTACCTTTACAATTAAAAGAGGGGTTGGTACATCAGATTGTGTTAGCGTGAACTATGATGATTTCGTTAATGATGTAGCACCGGGAGACATGCTTCTGGTTGATGGTATGCTGAATTTTACTTTTCTTTTGGTTAAAAATTGAAATTATGTTTATATGCACTCTGAATCTTGATTTGTGCTGCAGGTGGTATGATGTCATTTCTGGTGAAGTCCAAGACAGAAGAATCAGTGAAATGTGAAGTTGTTGATGGAGGAGAGCTTAAGTCTAGGCGACATTTGAATGTGCGAGGGAAAAGTGCAACATTGCCTTCTATCACTGGTTGGACTCCTAAATTGTCGATTCAATCCTTTACAATCTATTAAAGATGTTTTCTTTTATTTCTTTATGATCTGTTTTCCTAATGATATAGTTGTCTAAACTTATTTATTGCAGAGAAAGATTGGGAAGATATTAAATTTGGAGTGGACAATAAAGTTGACTTCTACGCTGTTTCATTTGTCAAAGATGCGCAAGTTGTTCATGAATTGAAGAATTATCTGCAAAGTAACTTTCCAAATACTTTATCATATATTCTGATAATACATCTGAATACAACATTTTGCGTAATGCTTTTGAATAAATGTATCTTAACCTATTTTATATTGCAGGTAATAATGCAGATATACACGTTATTGTAAAAATAGAAAGTGCAGACTCTATCCCGAATTTGCATTCGATTATCACAGCATCCGATGGGGTAATTTCTCGAATCAATGAGTGGAAACGTGATGCTTAATAAATGATTTACATGCTCTTTCTCCTGGATATTTGCATCTTATTATGTGAATAACACATTTTGAAGATAATACTGACATGCGATTATCTGATTTTAGGCAATGGTTGCAAGAGGAGATCTTGGTGCAGAGCTCCCTGTTGAGGAAGTTCCGCTTTTGCAGGTACTTAACGACAAACACATTGCAATTGAATCCACTTAACAAGATTGTTACATTAAGTTGAGTTCATTTAGTGCATTCTGAACTCGCTCTTTTATTTCAAAATGTAGGAAGAGATAATCAGGATATGCCGTAGCATGGGAAAGGCTGTTATTGTGGCAACAAATATGCTGGAAAGCATGATTGTTCACCCAACACCAACCAGAGCTGAGGTATCCGACATTGCCATTGCTGTTAGAGAGGGTTCTGATGGAATTATGCTTTCTGGAGAGACTGCTCATGGAAAGTAAGTTGTTGTGGCTATTGGAATTATACTGTCGGAACCAGTTTTGGACTATATACTAACATTTAGACTGTAGCATAATGTAATAAAGAGATTTCATATCCATGTAGGTATCCTTTGAAGGCAGTGAAAGTTATGCACGCTGTCGCACTTCGGACTGAGGCGACCATCTTGGGTGGCGCGGTGCCAGCCAATCTTGGTAAAGCTTTCAAGGTTAGGGAACATATACTTATTCATTCAGTTTCAGTAGGCAGCATCTTATTCATTCAGTTTCAACCGACTCTGATGTCGTCTTTCCTGCAGAACCACATGAGTGAGATGTTTGCTTACCATGCAACCATGATGTCCAATACTCTTGGTACCTCAATCGTTGTCTTTACCAGAACTGGTTTCATGGCTGTTCTATTGAGCCATTACCGACCTACCGGGACCATATTTGCCTTTACGAATGAGTGAGTTTTCATGTTACCTGTCACAAAGGCATTATTTGTGATAGTGTTACTAGAGTTTTTATTTTTTTATTCTCCTTGATAGATTTGTCATCCCCCTCATCCGGGCAGGTGCACAGCATGAATTTTGTTAAATTTGTAACTGTACCAGTTAAAATATGCTGTGCAAGTTCTATTCATTAGGAAAGTGAATTTGATTTTTTGACTGATCAAGTACTTTGATGGCGATGCAGTAAAAGCATACAACGGAGGTTGGCTTTGTATCAAGGCGTATGTCCCATATACATGGAGTTCACAGAAGATTCTGAAACAAGCTTTAGCAATGCCTTGACTGTGCTGAAGGTGACGTTTTGCTGCATATTTCCTAGCGACATAGAGTAATTTAAATTTGCATTTGGTCACATAAGGGAATTTTCCAATCGGCCATTTTTATATCGGGTTTCATTTCCCTTAAATGCTCATCCTTGAATCACTCTTGGCAGGATCAATATTTTTCGTTTCCTTAACTTTTTCATACGACGCTTTTGGTTTTGATTTGAACTAACATAGCTGGGCTATTCAACCATGCCAACACTGATGATGCATTTTCCGGTGTTTCATTTACAGAAGCAAGGATTGGTAAAGGCAGGAGAAGAGGTCGCACTCGTTCAAAGTGGCAGGCAACCCATTTGGCGGCTCCAATCCACTCACAACATTCAAGTGCGCAAAATTTAGGTGCAACGGAGATGGAAAAGTCGCCCTCGTAACATGGATTTCTTGGTCTACACTACGATAATTTCCAACGATAGCATATCTGTTGTAGTTCCAGCAGAATTGTTGTGGTAGTTTCTTGCTTTGGTTGTTTTTTCTTGTATTGCACACTTTTTTGTGATCCTGTATGCTTATTTTTTGGTTTCCCATTTTTTCTTAAATAATTTTGGTGTATGTTTCAGAAGAACAAGAAGTTGTTAATTAAGTTATAAATTTGGCAGTTGGAATGAAATGTCTTAACTTGTTACTCAAACTGTAATTTCCTTTAATAGTTTGATTGAGGAAACAGATCGTCACCTTCTGATATCCGCTGCTTACTGTTTGTCGCATAGCCGTTGACCACTGGCTAGGGTAGATTTTACGTCCGCTGCACGAGTGTGGGACTAAGATTGAGGGAGTTTTGTGCTTGAAAGTTGTTCTGCCAATGACGTGATTCTACAAATGGTTAGAACTTTGAAGGGGCATTGATGGAATGAGGCGGATTTCTTGTTTATTGAAAAAGGTTATTTATAGTTACGTTTTTTAAAGTTAATTTTAATCTTACTTATCCCGTAACTTAAAAATCATCACTTTACTTTTTGAAAATCAAAATTTGTTTCATTTTAACTTGTGAACTCTCTTTTTCCTGAAATTCAAAAGTTCTCACTTTACTATCTGAAATTCAAAATTCGTTCTATTTTAACTTGTGACTCTCTTTCTCTTGAAACTCAAAAGTTGCTCCAGTACGTATGTGAAACCTACCACCCAATAAGATTATGCCACATATGTCATTGAATTTGATTATAAATTCCCACCATGCATAAATATTTAATAATATTAAGTTTAAAAGAAGAAATTAAGAATTTGAATTTTTTTGGGTTGTTGTGCTTGAGTTACAAAGATGAAAAAAAAATGAATTGATTAGTTTGTTGCATCCAAATCAAACACAAGGAACAAAATAACATAATTAAGGCAATTGTTGAGCGAATTTTGAGTTATATAGAGTAAATGATGACTTTTAAGTACTAGGGGGCATGAGATCAAAATCGAGTTACAGAGGATAAAGTGAAACGAATTTTGAGTTTCAAAGAGTAAAGTGACAACTTTTAAGTTACATGAATAAAATAAATTTACAAATGAATTCCAAATGCGTTGCTAAAAATAAATGTTAACAAAATTTCAAAAGTCAAACAAAAATTGTTGATATATACGGACTTCATAAACAAAATTAAACAACATTCATTAGGATAATGAAATCCGATTTATTTATTGAGATAGTATTTTAAGGACAAACCAAAACATAGAGTTACGAAAGTCACACACTTCCGATAATGGAAGAACTATATCCACTTTTATCATCATAAAACTTAGACCATAACATAACACCACCATACTTCGACGACTTCTTTATGACCGGTAGAATTTTCGATTTCAGCACAGCAGCCGGTATATACCCACTTCCGGCCGCCTCAGGAGCAGCCGGCAACCCCATAAATATCTTCCCTGCCTTGACCGATGTAGTCCATCGGTTCCACGATTTTATAAGGTTATCGGTGCTACCCGAGCTGTACTGGCACGAAGGATTGTTATAGAACTGAACCCAAACATAGTCGAAAAGCCCTGTATTCAGAGCACCCCCGAGAAACTTATCAGGAAACGGACATTGAGGAGCTCCTGCTACATACACACTTCTTCTCGGCTTGCTATGCGCCTTGAGGCGTCGCGCAAGGACGTCCCAGTACTGAGTAGAACCGAGTTCTATGTCAAAATCTACGCCGTCCAAAACAGCGTCGCCTAAGGGGCGAGAAGTTGATTTCTTGCCGCCCAAGAAATTGTTCCATAGATAATCGGCTACATCTTTTGCATCAGCAGCTGATGCTAGAGAATAGTTTCCAACTCCGCCTCCGATAGACAGCAACACCTTGATTCCTCGGCTTTGGCAACTCGTTATGCCACGGCTGACGATAGCGCAACCACCGGATGCCGGGTTGCAGTGGCCTGCAAGGTTGATTTCGGGGGTCTGGCCGCTGCCAAATTTGTTGAGGAAGGCTATGTTCACGTACGAGTATCTCCCCGTGGCACATGTTTCGGCTAGGGTACCTTCATTCCCGTTTTGGCCCCAGTAGATGGCGATGCCGGCGCCGGCGTCGCAGAGTTCGAATCCAACAAGCTGCGCTAAGAGGATAAGGAGTAGAAATGGAGCTTGGGAGTTTCCAGCCATTCTTGCTAGACTTTTAGTGTTGTTGTGAAAACTAATGAAGTTATGTTTTTTTTTTATATGAGTTTAAAGTGCCCAACTATACCTTTGAACAGTTGACTGTGGACAGGACACGGTTTGCTGGACATAAGGAATCATTGATTTTTTTTTTCGGTCGAAAGGAATCATTGACTTAAAAGCAAGATTAAAGATGATTTTAATGTGTTTGGAGAATAAATTTAAGGTTATTAAGAAATTTTAAGATGACAGAAATTTAAAAGACAAAATTTTATTTTTTTAAATTTGTGAATTTTATTGTTTAGTTAAATACAAAATTAAATCTGTGTATAGAGTAATAATATATAAATGGAAAATTATAATTAGGAGATGTGCTAGTAATGGTGGCTACAGCTGCTATGATGATGGTGGGTGGTGGCGGCGGCGGTGATGCATTATGGTTGCAATGGTGATGGAGGTGGGTGCCAGCAATAATAATGGTATATGGTGGTGACATGTGGTAGTGGTGGTCACTTATAGTTGAGTTTTTTGTATTTTTTTATTTTAAACTCTCTCCGGTGAAATTTTGGATATGACATTTAAACTTAAGAATTAGAGGTCCTAAATTTCAAGTTTTTTTTTTTCCCACAAGGAAATTCTAAATTTCTATATTTATTGAATCCAAAAAATAAAATTGGTGCGTCTCAATGTATAAATTTTGAATTTTGTCTAAATTTTTTCTCTCATCCGAACATATTGTTATATCTATTTGTTGACTCTAAAAATTACAAAGCCTACGTGGCGCGCAGGCCGAGTAACTAATAAGCTAACTACGTCCTTCGGTTGAATGCGGGGCGTGCCAACTCGTCGGCCGAGCTCGACCGAGGAGTAAAATTTGTTGATGTTGCGTTGAGCGCGTTGCTGACTTCTTTATCTTGCGACTGCGGCCGAGGAAGGAACAAATCTCGGCCTTTGAATTCTCGAGCCTGAAGACAAGGCTGCTAGTTCTACGAAGTTCAATATCAAATTCGGCTCTCAGGGTGCCGAATGTAGTAACCTGGTAACACCTCACTTCGCCGAGAAGGCTAATGAGATGACCTATGCCAATAAGGATTTGAAAATCCTTCTCGACCGAGACTTGGATAGATAACCAGTCGGCCTCAACGCAGTGCTGTTTATCCAAACTGAAGGTGCTTCGGGAACGGCTGATTCTACGGCAACAGTGCTGTTTATCCAAACTGAAGATGTTCGCCGGTTGCCTTCACAGTGTTGTTTATCCAAACTGAAGATGTGTTGGCGAGAAAAAGAAAATAAAAAAATCTCAAGATGTTTTGAGAGGTTTTGCGCAGGGCAGTTGTGTGTTGAATTGGAGGTCCCTTGAATGGTGTTCACAGCCTTGTATTTATAGAAGCAGATGTGTGGTGCGGCTTCACTTGTGTAGAATTTGATTTTAATTCAAACTCATCAGCTAGAGTCTAGGTCAAAGACTTCCCAAGGTAAGCAACAACCTATCTTTTAGATATCATCATTATCTCTTTACTTCATGCAAACAATTAGCATGCATTAGCCAATTTGATAAGCTTCACGGCACTGCCAAAATCCTTCAAATTCCAAAGGTGCAGGCCATCATGACTCGTGGGTTGCCTTCCACGTGGAGAGCATCAAAATGCTTCCCTTTCTCATGTCGTCTTATCCATGCAAACCATTTGCAAATCAATTGCAAATCCTTTTCTGCCATTATCACAAATCGTTGTTGATCACAATCACCATCATTGCGCTATTTCACCTTTATCTGATACCAACCCGCTGGATATAGCCAATATTAGGCTTAGATAATCCAATATATATTAAGAGATAATATTATGATTAAAACCACAATATTATTCTTTAATAATAATTGAAAAATATCTCAACCACTTCATCATCCAACGGTCTAGAACTTTACTCATCTAACGGCCTTGATTGTATGGGCCGATAGCGTAAATTTGGGTCCAAACACTATTGTAGATATTATCTATATATTGGCCAATTAAATTGGGGTTAGAGGTAACCTAAAGAATAAAAAATTGGAGTTAGAGGCTACATAAAGCATATAGAATAAATTTAAATTTCAACCAAAATTTCAGTCAAACTACAACTTCGCACGTCCTAAGTATAATATACTCGATCAGTGGCGGTGGATTAAAATATAGGGGCTTGTAATTTTTCATGGCAAAGTCTGACAGATTAATGAGTTGAGGGCTTGTTATGCCAGCTTCATAGCAGTTCAGATTCCCTTCAACTACTCAGATACAGAACATAACCTATACTGTCAAAATGTCACTTAGCATCCTAACATATTCTTCTAATTTTTCATTAGTTGAAGGGGAATCTGAATTGTTATGAAGCTGGCATGATACATGCATACACAAATACAAAACTTTGAACAAGTAGAGGCCAATACATTTGCACCTATTAATTAGAAATAGGGGTAATAATTGAAAATTTCTACACCTAATAGTTAGGAGTGGCGGATATTGAAATTGCATCTAAAAAGAGCGTTGCTATTAATAAATAAGGGCAAATAAGCACTTATTTCCGCCCCTAATAGTTTTGTTGCCATGTAGGCAAGTCTGACATGCAAACAATATTAGATACAAATGTTTAAAGTATTAGGGGCAATTATTAAAGCCCATACTTTATTATATATTTAATGCATTTATATTTATTGTTATTGCATTTTTGGAATTATATTAATTAAAAACGTTTTCTAGGGTCAAATATGTTTACGATTATTTTTATTTTCCCCCACCATCCCAGACAAAAAAATATACTGTCAATAAAAAAATTAGTATTAAAATGCTTCATACTTCATTGATTATATACAAATGGTACAAGTATTATGAAGAAGTTTAAGCCTATTAGATAGAAATGGTAGTGTAAACAAAATTTATATGTCTTATCAATCTTCTGCATCTGAAACACCGAAATGATGAAAAGTTAAAAGTATGTGTCTTCCATGATCCATCCGATAGATACACCACAGAAGGTAAAAGCAAATTAGAGTAAAACTATTTTTAGACAAGATAAGAATCAAAACAATCAAATTATGTAGAACTCACAGACATGAAAAGAAATAAACAAATTAAAACAATCAAATTATGTACCTACGGTTCACAAAACATCAACAAAACAAAACCTCCAAAACAAACAAAAAATAAAACCTAAATTAAACCAATAGGGGTTTACAACGTAATTTATCTTTTTGATAACACACCTATATTATACAAAAAAAAAAATATGTATGAAGAACACATCTAACAAATTTCACTTCCAAATTTTCACACCCCACCGTCAAATTTACCTGCAAAACAACAGCTTGAGAGAAAAAAAAAACTTCAATCAAACTAAATAAGTTTAGTTTTTTTCTCTACTACAAACCTTTTTAAATCTATCTTTTGCTATATTAGACTCATCAAAGGGAATATTGAAAGGTAGAAAATTAAGAAAAAATAGATATGAAGAGAAAACAATATCAGATCTAGAACAAGAAGTGAAGAAAGAGGATAAAAATATGAAGGAACAAGAAAAATGGAGACGAGAAGAAGAATACGATGGAACAAGAAAAACGGAAATGAGAAAAAGATATGAAGAAGCAAGAAAAATGGAATGAGGTATGAAGAATCAACAAGAAAATGGAGATGATAAGAAGAATATGAAGGAACAAGAAAAATGGAGATGAGGAGTTTGTGCCGTGAAAGAAGATCAAGAGAGAAATATGAGGAATGTGCGTGTTGGTTATACTAGAATTAAGGTTTTGATAAATGTCTTATTTATTTGATTAATAATTAAGAAATAAAATAAAATAAAAGGAGATAAATGCTTCTAATGTAAATTATTAAGTTAAAAATATATATATTAGAGGCTCATTTATCCACCACTAATAACTAAATTTTGTAGATGTGGTTTTTTTTGCCCCTAAAAGTAGTAACACTAATAGGGGCACTTATTGTTTCTCCTCTATTATTAATAGAGACAAATCTATATTTATGTCCCTAATCAAGATTAACAAGGGAAATTTTTTATATCCGCCTCTAATCCACCGTCCCTAATAAGCACTATTCTTGTAGGCAGACGAAGGAGTGTGGGTGTGGCTGGGCTGGGATTAGGGTGGGAAGGACAAGGAGTCTCTCCTTTCTTTTTTTTTTCTCTCCCTTGCCTACCTTCTTGTTTGAACGCTCAAGATTTTATCTTTGTAGAGAGAGAGAAGAAAAAAGTTTGTGAGAGGAGGGGAGGAAGGGAGGAGAGAAAAAAAAGGAGGGGGAGAGAATCTCCATCTGTGTGGAAGATGCCAGATGGGATGGAGGAGATGACATCTCTTGGGCTATGGTTGCCTTTAAAAGTTTATTTATTTATTTTTTTTATTAAATCGATTTTTAAATTGAGTGACTAAAATAATAAATTTGAGTTAAGTTGACCTTATGCCATTTGATGAAGAGGTTAATTAGAGCGATCAAATAGTTATAGACTACCACTGTTAGTGGGTTAGGAATAACAACTTGCTCTTTTCACCACTATTGTTTGGAATGTTGAAGGTGTGGTGGATGATGGATCCCTGATCGAAGTTATAGTATAAAGATAGCCTTCACTGTCAGTCTATTCACATATTAGTATGCATGAGCTAGCTAGCCTTCATACATACCATTGACAATTTATTTGGACCTATATATAATTTCATTTCATACCCACCCAAATGGACGGACGGAGTCAAAAACATTTTTTAGCGGGGGCAAAGAATAATGAAATTCAATTAAAATTTTGATACAATGCTATTAATTTATTGTCCAACATGATTTTGAGTAACTAGTTCTTAGAACAGTAAAATTGTAAACGATTAACTAATAGAAAAATTACATGGCTCGTAAGGGTGAGAGAGTAGGAAAAGATAGAACGTGAGAGGATATTTTGAGTTGAGTGTATGGAATAAAACTTCATTTCTGAGTATATAGGTAATTTATAATTTTAGTTGAAGCATTTTTCATGACAAAAAGAATTGATTGGGAATAGCTGCCCTGCCCCCGATGTGCATATG